TTTAAGCCACCAGGTCCGGGATGCGAACCGCGGTCGACTACGTGGGAGTCCAGCAACATAGCCATTACGCTAACTGCTGGTTCCCCAAGGTGTGTATTTCTAATTTTTAAAATGAAATAGGATTATATTGTGGATTAGGTGGATTTACATGTAGATTATATCTCTTTTAAAATTCTGGCTTCAAATCTTTTTTTTTTTGAGAGGTTTTCGCTATAGGGCGCGTGCGCTCGCCAGACAGAGACATAGAGACAGAAAGCAAGAAATCACCCCTCAGGGGAGATGGTCACGCTCCAATCCCTTCGCCTCCATTCTCCTCTTGGGATTTTGGGCATGCACGCACACGCGCCCAGCGTGAGTTTTAAGCCACCAGGTCCGGGACTTGAACTGCGACCAACTACATGGAAGTCCAGCAATGTACCAATATGCCATCTGCTGGTCCCATCCCAGAGTGAGTTTTAAGCCGCTGGGTACAGGACTCGAAATACGTCAACTATGTGGGAGTCCAGTGATGTAACCAATACTCTGTCTGCTGGTCCCCTAGAGTGGGGATCTTAGTAGAATCCACCTCATAGAATGTGGTAAGGATTCATTAACTCTGCAACAATCCCCAGGTACTTTTGTATTAGCTGCCAGAGGGCGTGTGTACTCACCAGGGACTGAGAGACAGAGAGAGGGAGAGGGAGAAAGAGGCCCTGATGGGTGTGGCCACTGCGCTTTCTCCTCCATTTCTCCATCTCGTCAGAATTGGGGCCACACACCCACCGTGCCTGGCATGTTTTCAAGTCACTGAGGTCAGGAATCGAACCGCAGCCAGCCATGTGGGATTCGGCTCCCCTAACCGCAGGCTTCAGAGCCAGCCAGCCATGGATGTTACTCGCTGGCCATCATTTTAGACAGCATCAGGTTGAACAGGAGACGGAAATAGAAAGCCCTGTTATTGGGGCACTTACGTTCCAGTGAAGGAGAAGTGACACGAATTCACATGGAGCCCCAGAGGAGCGACAAGTACTTTGAAGGAACTAGCACAGGGTAATACCATGGAAAGCATTCGGGAGTGGGTAAGCCAACTTCAACAGGGCAGGCAGAAAAGACTTCCTGGAGGAGGCGATGTTTAAACTACACACTTACAGAAAGGGGGGAATATGGACAGAGCTGTATGTACTTGGCAAACAGGAGCTCAACGCATGACAACTATTTATTTTTTTTAAAAAGATAAATGTATTTGCAATAAGATAGGAAATGGAGCTTTTCCTGCCTTGAAAAAGAAAAAAAAGAAAAAGAAAAAAAAGAGCTACGTTAAAGCGCAACAACACAGTATGTCCTTCTGATCTGGGCCTATTCCTGCCTCCGTAAACAGCCGGGAGCTCCCCCATCCCCACGCGCCATCAGCACACCACCCTCAGAGCAGAGTCCTCACCCCAAATGCCCGTCAGACTCAAACTCAAGAATCCCTCCCTATGGGACCAGCAGTTGGCGTAGTGGCTATGTCACTGGACTCCCATGTAGTTGACTGCGGTTCGAGTCCCGAACCCGGTGACTTAAAACTCACGCCGGACGCGTGTGCGTGCATGCCCAAGATCCTGAGAGGAGAATGGAGGAGAAGGGATTGTGGCATGGCCACCCCCCCTGGGGGGTGACTTCTTGCTTTCTGTCTCTTTGTCTCTCTCTGTTTGTCTGGCGAGCACATGCGCCCTATAGCAAAACCTCTCCCAAAAAAATAGAAAAAGAAAATCCCTCCCTGTGACATTAGACATCTCTCACTCCTTGTTTTACAGGGGCTCCAGTGTGACCTCCCCTCCCCTGAATGTCTCCCACTGGTTCTGTCCTTAGCATCCCCATCGAACCCAGGAGCACACAGGAGTTCAGTGTCTGTCCTGCAGCTACGGGTCAGCGTGGTCAGTGCAGACGGCACCGGGAAAAGGCAGGCCCACAGGGGCCATCTGAGGACACGACCCCACCAGGAGCCGCCATCCCCAGGACACGGTGCACATCATAACCTCCCTTGGCACGCGTGCTATCGTGAGTGGAAGGAAAGAGAATTCTGCTAGGACACGCGGGGTGTGGACGGTAGGTGTCGTTGGCTCTGCCTTCAGAGGAGCAGGGGTCCAGTTAGTCACCGCCGCTGGTTTGTTTATGTTTCCAGCTGGGACCTGCAAGCTCGCGGCAGAACTGACTTGCTCTGGACAACGGGCAGAGCCTGAGTGGAGCCGCCTGACGTCCACCCTCCGCCACCCGTTGAAATGCTGAGCAAGTGTTTGGGGCACAGTGATTCTGACGCAGCCTGTCCTGGCCCAACCGTGTTATGGTTATAAAGCACAGCCACAGATCCCGCTGAGCCAAAACGCCGCCCCCGGGCGACCAGATGATGCAGCAATAAAATGCAATGCTCTACGAGGCAATCATATGTGGGAAGGTCCCCAGTTCGAGACTGGAGACCTCCCTGAGAAAACAGGGCACATGCGTGGCCGTGAGCCAGGGCTGGCTGGAGACAGGGTGGGGCGCCGCCTTGGGGCCGCTGGGGCTGATGTCTCTTTAATACCCTCTCTTGCTTACTCATGAAAGAACGAAAGAAATCATTTTTTTTTTTCTTTTTTGGCCATAGTGTGTGCTTACCGGAGAGAGACAGAGAGAAAGGGAAAGTGAGAATTCACCCCACAGAGGGGGATGGCTGTGTTACAATCCCTTCTTCACTCCCCTCCTGGGATTTGGGGCATGCATGCCATGTATCCAACACAGTTTTCAAGCTACTGGGTCCCGGATTCGAACCATGAGCAGTCATGTAGGAGTCCAGCGCCTTACCCACCAGGCCACCTGCTGGCCCCAATAAATCAGCTTTCTAAGCAATGCTGTCCTGGGTAGTCAGACATCGAGAGCAGTGGCCAGTCTCCACAGAGGGATGCCTCGTGGGCAGCTCGGGAGTCTTACATTCTCTAAAGCAGGTACTTATTCTTACAAAAACAGAGCCTCTCTTTGGCCACGGGTGGACGCTATTTCAATAGACTGGCAAGACACCCCTCCCAGGACAAGATGGTTTTGCTCTGGGAAAAGCTTTATGGAACAGGGTGCTCGCTAAGCACCCACTGGTGAGTCAGAAAGAACACCTGCTTGTCGCGGGCACAGATTTTCTCATTCAACCCCCACGTCGGTCCAGTGAGGTCGGTCCCATTGTGCCCAGTCCCTGATGAGGAACTCAAGGCTGGAAGGCGTGGACTAACTCACACTGGTCACACAGCGGTCACACAGCGGTCACACAGCGGCCCGGCTGTCTGCCCAGGGCACACGCCTGCTTGGGTTCATTCGTGGCCCAGATCCAGGGGAGGCCGACCCAGTCCCTGCCCTGTCCCTGACCCGGGTGTCCCTGGGCACTGTCCACACTCACATCATCACTTTGGCCTCTTCGATGAAGTCCTCTTCAGACATGGAGCCTTCGCTGATGGTCTTGATGGCCACTTGGACGTGTGCTCGCCACTTCCCGAAATGCACCACGCCGAAGTGGCCGTGCCCGATCTGCTTGACGAAGGTCAGCTCAGACGGGTCTATCTCCCACTTTTCTGAAGAAGGGAAACATCCGCGTTACAAGTCGGGAAAGGAGTGCCAACGTTTTCTTTTCTTTTTAGGTTGTTGCCATAGGACGCACGCGCTTGCCGAGGAGGGACAGACAGCGGGCAAGTGAGAAGCCAACCCCCGGAGGGGACGGCCACGCCATGATCCTTCCCCTCCACTGCCTCTAGGGGTTTGGGCCCAGACATGTGCACCCAGTGTGATTTTCAAGCCACCGGGTCTGGGGTGCAAACCGCAGCAGGCCATGTGGGGATCCCTAACCACCACCCCACCTGCCGACCCCGGGCACGGTGCGATTTTAGAGCCTGAAAAGACTAAGGACTACCCAGGCCCATCCCTGCCGCAGAGAGGCCTCGTGATGTGTAACCGCGTGGGGCAGTACTTTGAGTGCTCTCACTGTAGTTTAAACAGGTAACCCAAGAATTCTGGTTTTAAAATACAAACTTTACTACTTGTACAATAAATTTTGGACTTCAAAACATACTTGTGGGGCCAGCAGGTGGCATAGTGGTTAAGGCACTGGACTCCCACATGGCCAACTACTGTTCAAGTCCCAGACCTGGCAGTTTAAAACTGGCCAGGAGCATGTGCATGCATGACAAAAATCCCAAGAAGAGAATGGAGAAGGGATTGTGGCATGGCCATCCCCCTGGGAGGTGAGGTCTCATTTTTTGTCTCTCTCTGTCTGTCCAGTGAGTGCACACACCCTATAGCTCAAGCCAGCAGGTGGCATAATGGTTAAGGAACTGGACTCTCATATGGGCGACTGTGGTTTGAGTCCCAGACCTGGCGAATTGCTTTCTCACTTTCCCTCTCTCTCTTTGTCTCTCTCTGATGAATACACATGCCCTAGTAAATTTAAATAATAATAATAATAAATACAATTAAATAGATAATTCTTTAAACACACACACACACATACTTGCTCTTCCCAGAGAGACCCACAGTGAAACACATCGCGTGCCTTTCCACACTAACCTACCAGGATTAGACCGGGACGCGTCCCAGTCTGGTGGCCCTTCTCCTGAGGGAGGAGACTAAGCGACTCACATAATAAAGATACATCTACGTATGTGTGAGGTAGAACATGTGGTCCTATGTATTTCTTTCTCTAGAGGAGAAAATTGAGAAAAAAATAACTTTTTCTTTTTTTTTTTATTTTATTTTTTTGAAGAAGTTTTCGCTATAGGGCGCATGCGCTCGCCAGACAGAGAGAGACATAGAGACAGAAAGCGAGAAATCACCCCCCGGGGGGATGGTCACACCGCAATCCCTTCTCCTCCATTCTCCTCTCGGGATCTTGGGCACACACGCACACATGCCTGGCGTGAGTTTTAAGCCACCGGGTCTGGGACGCAAACCGCGATCGACTACATGGGAGTCCAGCGACATAGCCATTACGCTAACTGCTGGTTCCCAAAAAAGAACTTTTTCTAAAAGAACCCTCTTGGGGATAGCCCCATAACCTTGTTGTTGAGGGAGCTAGACCCGACATGGCCGACGTGGTTCAAATCCCAACCCCAGAGGCCTGAGAAACATCCAGGCGTGTGTGTGTGTGTGTGCCCCCGATTCCAACAGGACCGACAGTGGAGGAGAAAGGGGTATGGCATGACCGTACCATGGCAGGGAAGTCTCTGCTCTCCCTCTCTCTGTCTCGTCTCTCTCCAGTGAGTTCATGCACTCCCCAGAAATTACAACAAAACTAGACACAAACCAATACAATAACCCACTTGAAAACTGTAACAAGTGTTAGTGTAATGGCTATGTCGCTGGACTCCCATGTGGTTGACCGCAGTTTGAGTCCTGGACACGGTGGTTTAAACACACCGGGCGCGTGTGCGTGTGTGCCCAAGATTCCGAGAGGAGAATGGAGGAGAAGGGATTGCGGCATGACCATCCCCCCTGGGGGGTGATTTCTCGCTTTCTGTCTCTATGTCTCTGTCTTTTTGGTGAGCACATGCACCCTATAGCAAAAACCTCTCAAAAAAAAAAAAAAAAAAAGAAAGAAAAGAAAAAAAAAAAGAAAGAAAAGAAAACTATAAGAAGTATTCAATCTTGATTTTTTTTTAACAACTCCTTTCGGAACAGCAGCGTCACCATCTGCTGGAACTTCAGAATAAGGCATTTAGAAGAGGCGTGAAAACTCACAGCCCCTTTCCGCCTGTGTAAAGGACCCTTTGCCTGTGGTAAGTGTGCCTTCCAAGAGACGTGGGAGAAGGTGTCCACGACCTTGGGGCTGCCATAGGCAGATCAACAGAACAGCCATAAAGGAAAATACGAACCAGTTAGGCTTCAAAAATACTCTGTCATCAAAACTACCTCAGCGGGCCGGCCCCTGGCCCTGTGAGTGAAGCAGCCAGGTCCCACACGGCTAACTGTGAGTTCCAGTCCCAGACCCACTGGCTTGAAAAAGGCAGCCACAAGTGCACGCATGCCCCGAGTCCCATCGGGGTGGAGAGATGGAGGTGAAGGGTTATGGCATGACCACACTCCACTGGGGAGGGTGTTCTCCCTCTCACTGTCTCTGTCACTGTCTCTTTCTCATGAGCGGGCATACACTCTGACGACTTTTTTAAAAAAGTACATTAAAAGGAGGAAAAGATAAGCCACAAATTTACCAAAGGCATAACCAGTGAAGAATCCCTGTCCAGAATAGAATAAGTTAACTAGAAAGACATACTGTATAACCCTATTTTTTCAAGGTGAGAAATGTGAATAGAGGAGGCAGCAGGTGGTGCGGTGGTTAAGGTGCTGGATTCCCGCATGGCTGACCACAGTTCGAGTCCCAGATGCAGCACCTTGAAAATCACACTCAGCACCTGCTCATGCGTGCCCAAAACCCGTGCCCAAAACCCTGAGAGAAGAATGGAGAAGGAACAGCAATGAGGCCGTCCCCCTGGGGGATGATTTCTCGCTTTCTCTCCCTTAGTAAGAGCATATGGCCAATGGCAAACACCTAAAAAAAAATAACATATTTTAAGTTGAATAAAGATTCCCTCATAAAGGAGAATATTCAGGGCCAGCCGATGATGTAGCAGTTAGGCCTCTGGACACCCACATGGCCAACCGTGGTTTGAGTCCTGGACCTGGTGGCTTGAAAATTGGGTGGGGCACATGTGTGTGCATGCCTAAAATCCTGAGAGGAGGATGAGGACAAGGAATTGTGGTGTGGCCATCCCCCTGGGGGGTGATTTCTCGCTTTCCCTCTCACTGTCTCTTTCTCTCTGGTGAGTGCACACACCCTAAGGCAAAAACCTCTTTTAAAAAAAAAAAGCGCGAGAGAAACTATCCAAGTGGCTAGCAAGTTTACGAGAAGATCATCAGGATAACCAGTCATCCGCTGAGTGCAAGTACGAGCCACGAGGAGACACCACCGCATGCCCGCCACATTGGCCAACATGTAAACGACAAACCAGATGACAGGACACAGGACCACGAGCTCCCAGGCCCGTGTGCTGCTGACGAAGTGTAATTTGCTACAAGCCCTTTGGGACATTGACCGCTCCTAATAAAACTGAGCATCTGCCTGCCTTATGACAGCAAATCCACCCTTAAATCTCTACTCAAAGTGTGTTGGAGTACAGAGCCATGCTTCAGGGCCCCGTCAGAAAGCCAGGGTGGAACCCTCCTGCAGAGTCCCACGCCGCAGGGCCCACCACAGCGAAGGCGAGCTGGCCATGCCCGACGTGGCAGGAACTCAGACCAGACGGGAGGGGAGGAAGGCCCAGACGAGAGAGTGCAGTGTCTGCTTCCACTTTCTTTTAAAGAATTATTTATTTAATTGTGTTTATTATTAGTTTTTAAAATTTGCCCTAGGGCATGTGCACTCAGCAGAGGAGAGAGAGAAAGTGAAAAAGGAAACCCCCAGGTCCAGGACTCAAATCGGGGCGGGCCCTGTGGGGGTCCAGCATCTCATCTATCATGCCACCTGCCAGCCCTCAGAGTCTCTCTGTATAAAGGAGTCACCAGGCAAAACCAGTCGGGCATACACTAAGGAAAGGGACGCTGATTTCTACTTTTGAACAAAATGAAGTTTATGTTTAAGAAATTAGAAGCACTATATTTGGCTTAAATAATTGCTAATGTCAGAACTTTTCTTTCTTCTTCTTTTTATTTTTTATTTTATTTTATTTTTTTGGCCGGAGGGTATGTGGGTTCACCAGAGACAGCATTCCCACAGGCTTTGGTTACCCACAATCCTTTGTCCTCCATGCTCCTCATGTCGGGATTTGGGGCTCAGAGACACGTGCACCCAGCACGGTTTTTAAGCCACCAGGGCCAGGATTCAAACCACAGTGGGCCACATGGGATCCAGCTCCCCTTGCACAGTGCTTAGCCACGCACGAGGGGCCGGCCCACGGCACTTCTCATTGCGTGTATTATCCCCAGGGCAGGAGCATAAGCCAGGCACCGCGGCACCCGAGGGCCTCCTCCCATCCCTCGTAACACAGCACGACCGTGGCCCTGGCTACTGGCTACATAGCACGGTGGTTATTTCTTTGAGTATATTCTGAGTCCCACTGTAAGAGATTTAAGGAAACAAAAACTTCCCCAAATTAGAACACAGGGTTCCCTGACCCTAATTTACTCTCACAGATTGCTAACGCCACGTGTGCTCAAAAGCGGCTTAACTCAAACTCGATGCCAGCTCTGTTTGGAAAAAAGGGCGAGGAAGACACTTTCACCAGCTCTTGTTAGTAGATTTTCATGGAGGGAAGTCATTTCTCAGCCACCCTTAAAACCAGAGCGCCATGGGACCAGCAGAGGGCATAATAGCTATGTCGCTAGACTCCCACATGGCTGACCGTGGTTTGAGTCCCAGACCGAGCAGCTTGAAACTCACGCCAGGTGTGTGTGCATGCCCAAAATCCCGAGAGGAGATGGAGGAGAAGGGATTGTGGTGTGGCCATCCCCCCCAGGGGGTGATTTCTCACTTTCTGCCTCTCTCTGAGTCCCAAGCAAGCATGTGCACCCGATAACAAAATCTCTAAAAAAAAAAAGAAAAAGAAAAAAAAAAAGCAACATCCAACCAAAAAGAAGTGTCGGGAACCAGCAGTTAGTGTAATGGCTATGTCGCTGGACTCCCACGTAGTCGACCGCGGTTCGCGTCCCCGACCCGGTGGGTTTAAACTCACG